AATGCCCTGGTTGTCAAATTCTCAGCCAGCTCTATATGCACGGCCTTGGAGGCCATGCAGACGAAAATCGCACCATAAGTCTTGGTCAAAACGTTCGACCTCTTACCACCCAGTCGCACATTAAATGGGCCGCAGTAATCGAGGCCTGTGTGAGTGAACGGTGGTGCAACCAATACTCTTGATCTCGAGAGCGAAGCCATCTGTTGTTGTTGGGTGATTCGCTGATGACGGTGGCATACAACACGTCGATGGACAAACGTCTTGGCCAATGCGCGCATGTGTACGATCCAGAAACTTTGGCGCAAATACTGCATCCTCCCTTGAATGCCACCATGAATACACTTCTCATGGGCATCGCCGATAAGCAGCCATGATAATGCTCCATCCTTCGCTAAAATGATCGGGTGCCGTTGATTAAATGACAACTCTGCTCTCTGTAAGCGACCACCGACTCGAAGTATCTGTTTTTCGTCCAAGAAGGGATTCAGGGACTTTAGCTTACTTGTGGAACTTATGCTGGAATGAGATCTGAGCGAATTAATATCTGATAGGTACACATTACCTTGTGACTGTCGAATGTGAACCTCAAGGGCCCATGCCCTCTCCTCTGTGGTCATCGAATCGCCTCGGTGACCTCGGAATGCAGGTAAGATTCGCCGTAGACGTGCCGTAGTGTCAAGCAGTCGATTCAGACGGCTAAACTTTTCCACCAAAGGAATTCGTCTGCCACCGAATGTCCTGCGCAATAATCCACATGTCGCAGCGGTCACCAAGCTGCGAGGGGGGCGGTTCTCCAACGTTGCTGTCTGTTGTTCTTCGTCAGTCAAAGCAGGCAACTCGGTGCTAAGGTTGAAACAAGTGTACATAATTGGTGGACCAGTCCACCAGAGTGGATGATCTTCAAGCGCCGTTGGTGGAATGCCACGACTGGCGCAGTCTGCTGGGTTGTGTTCACTTCGGATGTATCGCCAACACTTCACTTCAGAATGAGTTTGTATGAATGCCACACGGTTGGCTACATACGGCTTTAGTACGGTCGGTGCTTTCTGGATCCAGTGGAGGACAATGGTCGAATCACTCCAATACATACAACCTGCGCTGTCCAGTCGCAAGGCGTGACGAATCTCTTTCATTGTCATAGCGAGTAGTCGTGCTGCACTGAGTTCCATTCGTGGAATTGTAGTACTCTTACTGGGTCCTACCCTTGTTTTGGTCGCAACCAGGGATACGCGTACCTCACCCTCTGGATCTTCGATGCGCACATAGACGACCGCAGCGTAAGCTTTGCTGCTGGCGTCACAGAAGCCGTGCAAGTTTACCGTGGACTTCTTGGTCATGCCCAACCAACGCAACACCCGAATACTGGAAAGCTGGTACAAACCATTCCGAAATGTTAACCATTCATCTCGTAAATCGCCTGGTAATGGTGTATCCCATGGCAGCTCTGCCTTCCAAAGCATCTGGATAAAAATCTTGGCCCATACGATCACCGGCGACAATAATCCCGAAGGGTCGTATAATCGTGCGACATCGCTTAGTACGTTGCGTTTAGTACGAATTGCATCGAGCACCGGCAACCGTACTTTGTAAAATAAAGTGTCATTATTAGGGTTCCAGTGCAAGCCCAGTACAGTGGTATCAGAATTACTTGGAAACGACTCGGTGCTGGCAACTGTAGTAGTATCTACACTATCCAAGTAATCATCGACGTAAAAGTTTGAGAGTATGCTCTCCTTGGTCTCAGCTGCCCGGTTGACATTGTGGATAACTGAAAAGTTATCACTGGCGCACTGTCGCAATGCGCGAATAGCGTTGTACGGTCCACAAGCCATACCGTAGGTGACCGTATTTAATTGGTAGGTGGGGATCTGTTCGCTTGGTGACTCCCGCCAGAGAATATGCTGCCATTTGCGATGCCTTTTATCCACCTCAACCTGACGGAACCTCTTCTCCACGTCCGCCTTAATGGCAACTTGAAACCGTCGAAATCTGTAGAGGATGTGGACGAGATTTTCCTGCAATTGGTTACCAACAAGTTGCGTGTCGTACAATGATATGCCATTGCTCGATTTAGCCGAAGCATTAAACACCACACGGAATTTCGCAGTCACAGCATGATGTGGGATATAGTAGCATTGGTCGTAGTTAACTTCTCTCTCCGGGATGTGCTGCATATGACCAAGCTGCTCATACCCCCGCATAAACTGGATATACCTGTTACGAAGATCCGCATCTCCAGCCAGTTTTCGCTCTAAATTAAAGAATTTCCAAGTGCCGGAGCGTTGAATCGGAATAAAATTTGTACGACATATCGACCATCGGTATTCCTCGAAAACGTGTCCAGGAATATTTGCTCGCAGTCCTCCACATAGCTGCCTTCAGGTGGTTCTTCCGCATCCCAAAATTTTCGAAGAAGCCCATCAAGATCATGGTCTTTCAGTTTGGTACTTAAGGACTGAGGCTTGGATTCGTGTGATTTGGCATTAGTCGGGCCCAACACAATCCACCCGAGTCGAGTACGCAATGCACATGGTTTATCACAGCCTTCTGATACCACTCCATCTTGGAGGATGGTGCTCCAATTGTCAGCACCGATAAGCAAATCGATGCACCCCGGTAAACCAAATGTAGGGTCAGCCAGTTGTAGACCACTTAAGTACTTATAGACGGCTGTGTTTACAGGAATCGCGGTTGTCGATGAAGTGATCGAATTCAAAATGTAAGCGTCGAAACTAATGTCGACCCCTTCATCGATCCTCGAATGCAGGTTAAGGGTGGTAACGCCCTTAGTGTACGTTGAGTTTTGGCCGACGCCTTCAATAGTCATGACACAGCGTATTCTACGAAGATTCAAACAATGAAACATAGATTCTGATAAAAAGCTCACCTGAGATCCCATATCACACAAAGCTCTGCATTTATGTAGGTTACCCTGATGATCAGCGAGCAAAACCTGCGCAGTGGCTAACAACACGACGTGATCACCATGAACCAAGAAGGACTGAACTACATTTGACTGTTGTTCACTGCCTGGGAAGACCTGAGGCTGCGATACTGTAGGTTCTGGCTTAGAATTCGATGACTCCATTTGGTGGGAAGTGGCGGCCATGCTAGTACCCGCACCAACAGTCGGACTGCGACAAAGAAGTGTATGATGTTTTTGGCGACAAACCGTAAAACTCCCGCTGAACAATCACGCGTGACATGGCCGTCACACAGACAGTTGAAGCAAAGGCGCAAACGTCGAACGGTCTCCCAACGAGACGTTACTGCAAGATTCCGCCAGCGATGACATTTGGCAAGACGATGGTTCTCCGAACAATGTGGACAACTTGAAGTATTCGCACCATTCGCTTGTGCAGACGCTAGGTGTGCTCTAGCCCTACGTTGTGCCGTATGTCGTGAAGAGGTGATCACACCCTGCGACACAGACGATGCAGCCGGCATATTCATCGCGCGACGCTCGATGAAACTCAATAAATCTTCCAATCTGGGAATATCGTTGTCTTTGAGGCTCATGCCCCAATCATTTCTTGCTGCTACCGGCAGCTTTGGCAGCAATATTGGAATCGCAAGCGCATCCCATTGTGTTACCGGCAACCCCATGACAGATAATGCACGAAAGCTGTTACTTACACAGTCGATGATATCACGGAGCACCTTCTGTGTGTCGCGTGGATCAGTTGGCAAAGCTAGTATACGTTGCACATGGGTTTGTGACAGCAGATAGGGGTTGTCATAGCGACGCTTCAGTTCCGCCCAAACCTCTTCATATCCTCCAGTATTCAACCCAGTGACCATTGGGACACTTTCAGGCTTGACGTACTGCCGCAATTTACTAAGCTTGTATGTTGGCTCGAGATCTGTCCGTTGGTGGACCATTGTCTCGAACATGTCTTTAAACACAAGCCAGTTCTCCACCTGGCCATCGAAGGGTGGTATGGAAACAGGATCTAGCCGCAAATCCGCTGCTTGGGTCCGCACGGAGTCATGCTCAACAGGAGTGCATTGCAATAGCAAGCGACGTAATTTAATGCAAACTTTGTTGAATTGCTCTTCCGTGCTAGCGTACAGCGTATCGTGAGTAGGAATATCTGACGACTGTGCCCCAGCGACTAAATCCAAATGATGTTCAACGAAGCGATCCCAGTACTGCTGCACCATTCCAAGAATGTGCTCAATTTCGACCTGGTCTGGACTATAGTCCTCTGTATGAACCGT